TGGCTCAAACAAACTGACCGCTCTCCGTCGCTCATAGCTCAAACAAACGGGCCGTTCTACGTCTGTCGTAGCTCACACAAACTGACCGCTCTCCGTCGCTCGTGGTTCAAACGAACGGGCCGTTCTGCGTCGGTCATGGCTCAAAAAACGGGCCGTTCTACGGCTCTCGCGGCTCAAACAAACTGACCGCTTTCCGTCGCTCGTGTCTCAAACAAACGGATCGCTCTCCATCGTCCGTGGCTCAAACAAATGGCCGCTCTCCGTCGCCCTGTTTGTTTCGCAATTCTCGCGGGCGGGAGGAGAGAGCTGGCGGCACCAAATGGGCGACCAGGTCACGTTTTCACACGCGCAAAAACGCCGTCAGCGGCGCGCCGGTGCTGAGGTGCGCCGGTTCGCCGCGCCGCTCCGGCGGCGTGAGAGTGACTGGGCTTGTCGAGGCCGGCTCCATGCGTGAGGACGTCTACTGGAACCAGCGCGGTGCCGCATGGGCGTGGGGTGACAGGCACTGGAACGGCGTCCACGCGCCTGTGGGACAGCAGTGCGGCCACCGCGGGTCGCAGGTGTCACTGCCGACCGGCACTGCTACATCCGTCACCCACGTTATGTTCTCATACGTAATATACAGCTGAGTAACAATGAGAATCTGCTAGATGGGATACATGCTTTCACGCTTCAGTGCATGCTTTCTAGCAATTCTGTCCTCAATAAGGATGAGTTTCATGGTAGTCAGTCATGATGCTGGGGTTAGATGCCAAGTTGGGTTCAAAGTGTATCGACTCTGAGCGGATTCCATCTCAAGCTATCTCATAGGGCAAGTATTGAGATCCTGACGGTAGCTCCCGAGCCAGGGCGATGCGGTTCGAGCAAGTATTCTGCGCCCGTGCTGAGTTTCCTCTGTCTCGTGTGACTGTTCCGATCAGTGCTTTTACGGTACTTGCGCTCGTGACGTCACATATCGCTGTCCTTTTCTGCCTGCGCGTGGTATCGGGCTGGTGTCTCGTCGACCCGTGCCATGCCCAAGGTCTGGAACCGGCACATTGGGAACGGGGACGAGAATGTCCCATTAGCACACCCCTCCGTCCCTTGGGTAGGTGCGTCTATGCGTTTTTATTTGATGGCGTGTTTTCTTTCGCGGCCTTCGCTGGGGCTGGGCTGCGCGCTTCAGAAGGGGACGCGTCACACTGGAGAGGCTCACATGACGAGCGAGAGGCTTCCGCAGCACGCAGCCAACCCGATCTGCTGCGTCGTGGGCGGTGGTGCCGTCTCCACAGCTGGGTGAGCTGAAGCCTCATCCCAAATGTCGCTCATTTTGCCCCCTTTGCCTCCCAAGCTCGCAGCACACCTACCTTGAGTCCAGCACAATCAAGCAAGCGCAAACCAGTTCTTACCAGGGCATGCGGCGAGTCCACCGTGTTTGTCTGTTTACGGCAGATGAGGCTGATAGTCCTGCTTGTCCAGCCACGACGGAAATAGCGAGACTTTCCCCGTCGCGCACATCGGCCAGCCGTGGCAGCGTCCGCCGACCCTCCTCCCAGTTCAGCGGCCTCGGAATAATGGCGGCGCCGGTGGCGTGGTTAGATCGGCATCAGCCACGTCGCGTCACTCGCCGCCCATGTGACCGGCGTGTGTACGCATCAGACAGCCCCCCCCCCCCCCCCCCACCTCTAGCTGGCGAAACGCAGGCGACGCCTTCAGGGACTATTCGCTGGGAACTGATCATTTTGAAAACGTTTGGGAAGCACTGTGCTGTGCTTGCTGTGAGCACCTTTTCAGACAAAGCTCAAACCAATGCCGGAACAGGGTTTACTTTTGGGTTACTCGCCCTGCGGGGGCACACAGCGTCCACAGGCGGCGCCCGTTGCACTGTTCGGACGTCTCGGCGCGGCGTGGAGGCTCCGGACGGCACCAATAACGTCTGCTTCCGGCCCGGGGGCGTGGTGCGCTCCTCCACGGCCCTCCTCAGCCGTTCCGTCGTAGTCGGCAGGCTGGCCGGCCTTCTGCCCGGACCCCAGACCTCAAGCAGAAGTCCCAGCAGCAATAGGTCTGGACTGTGAACAGGCCAGAGATGGTTCATCAATGACTCGGTCACCGAGCTTGCTGCTGGGTCAAGACTTAAGTCCCTCCCAAAATTCGACGATATACCTGCCCCTGATGATGTATCTGTCCCTGATTATGTATCTGCTCGTGATGGTGTGTCTGACCCTGATGATGTGTCTGCCCCTGATGATGGCATCTTTCCCTGATGATGTATCTGCTCCTGATGATGTGTCTAACCCTGATGATGTATCTGCCCCTGTTCATGAGCACTTGTTAGCGTGTCTCTCACAGAAGAGGTGCATGCATATAGGTATGTTACATCTGCTTAGAATTATGTTGCCTACTACTAGTGGGTTACCTATTCAGACAGCCTAAATCGTTCCCACGTTTTATGGACTTACTACGCGCGTGGTGAGCTCCGACGCAGCTGCGCCCTGAGTACCAATTCCTGTCTGTAATCAACCTGGTCACGCCACGACGACACCCAGACGCGCCGACGCCAGCCTGCATGTCGCCGTCATGGCCCGGCCACGCTGCGAGTGACATAGTCGCGCGGTGACGCTGGCCGCTCCGGTGGGTGGCTCGCCCGGCCATGCTGCGAGTGACATAGTCGCGCGGTGACGCTGGCCGCTCCGGTGGAGGCTCGCACCGGCCACGCTGCGAGTGGCATAGGTCGCGCGGTGACGCTGGCCGCTCCGGTGGAGGGCTCGCCCGGCCACGCTGCGAGTGACATAGTCGCACGGTGACGCTGGCCGCTCCGGTGGAGGGCTCGCCCGGCCACGCTGCGAGTGGCATAGTCGCGCGGTGACGCTGGCCGCTCCGGTGGAGGGCTCGCCCGGCCACGCTGCGAGTGGCAATAGTCGCGCGGTGACGCTGGCCGCTCCGGTGGAGGGCTCGCCCGCCACGCTGCGAGTGACATAGTCGCGCGGGTGGACGCTGGCCGCTCCGGTGGAGGGCTCGCCCGGCCACGCTGGCGAGTGGCATAGTCGCGCGGGTGACGCTGGCCGCTCTCCGGTGGAGGGCTCGCCCGGCCCACGCTGCGAGTGACATAGTCGCGCGGTGACGCTGGCCGCTCCGGTGGAGGGCTCCTGCCTCATAACGCTAGGGCTGAATCGATGCTTGAGCGTGTCACGACTAACGAAGTGAATCCGAATATGATTTTTTCGTGATATTGTCTAACAGCTGAATGACTGAAAGCAATGAGTGAAATTGTAGTTACGGTGTATTTTTGTCTTGTACGTGAGAACTTGTGCGGCAAACGGGCCGTTCATATGCAAAGGGTGTGAAACGTTGAAGATTATCAAGACTAATGAATTTTTTTTTCTAATTGTCAAATGTTAAATTTGTAAAACACAACAACAACACAACACACACACACACACACACACACACACCACACACACACACACACACAACAAAACAAACACACACAACACACACACACACACACAACACACAACACACAAATATATAGAAATATATATAAGATATATATATATATATATATATAATATTAATAGAATATATTATATATATCTATCATTTCTCTCTCTCTCTCTCGTCTCTCTCTCTCTCTCTCTCTCTCTCTCTCTCCTCTCTCTCTCTCTCTCTCTCTCTCTCTCTCTCTCTCTCTCTCTCTCTATCTATCTATCTATCTGTTTGTCCAAAGAACAGATTGTCACGAATCAACCGTCGATCGAACACATAGCTTGCTTCGCGTTGCCACATCACTCCCTTACTGTAGGCTCATGATTGTGAATGGTACTCTCAAGCCGACAGCACGGGAAGCAGAAGAAACTAGCACGAACGCAAGGCCAAGGTTTGCTCGATGCATGGAAACGCTCTTCCTGAGGACGTTTCTCCCCCCCACCCCCCCACCCAGCCGTCAGTCGCCGTCTGCTGTTAGCTGGGGCAGCCCACGCCATGTCCAATGGAGACAGCAACGCCCGTCGTCGGTGTTGGCGATTCTAAAGCTGCCAGCTAAAGTGCATGCTGAACACTCTTCTCTTTTGTGCAATTTTTACGCAAATCGATTCTAAAGAAAGAACAAACACCCCCACCCAATTTTGGCTGGCCGAGTCAATAAAATTGTTTGGTCCCGCTTCAAATCTACACTAATATTCAATCCCCGAGAACTCAATATCTATTAATAACCCCAAAAATGCGACAACGCTCCTGACTGTTATCGAATTAGAAACTCAAAGGGCTAAACAATAAATAACAATGGTTGTTATTCGATGCAGTAATGACATAATTGCTTCCTCGACCTCCTTGAGCCAATTTGGTAAACCGACATGGTACGGTTCCGAAAGGGTTTCCGAAACTGAGAAGGGCTTACTTTCAACTCCCCAAGTGGTCGTGGCTCAAAGCAACTTAAGTAGACGACACATATCGCATCACGAACTACAGTGAATTTGGTAACTTGTAAGCAAGTCCTATTATAAACCTATTTATATCATTTTTGCTACAGTATACCGTGCGCGGAAATGAACGACTAACGTATCGCGCTCTGCCAGCACTTTGCAAAACTGCAGAACCTGACGAGTACGTACAACGGTACTTTAACCGCTTGTTGAATTGCGAACCCACATTTGGTATCGTTCTCCGAAGCTGGCAGGGTTGGGCGACTCCTCCGGCGTCCATGGCGTCGTGAAGCAGATGGGCCGCGCCCGCCCGAGCGGGACATCTCCGTGACCTGACCCGCCCGGTGCCACGGTGTCAACGGCCGGGACGGCGGCCGGTGATTGGGGGCAGGCCTGGTGCCGACGGTGAAGGGCAGCGGCGGCCGGGATTCGTGACCTATTTCACGGCCCCGGCTCCCGGCCGATCAGACAGGAATGCCGCGCAGGGGCCGATTAAGTCCTCAGCCGGCAGCCAGCGCCGAGCGAGGCTGACGTTAGTCCGTCAAACATCGCTGGCTCCTGTGGTTATATCGATAATCGTAG